TGTTTTTGTAGAGATGGGGTCTCACTGTGGTGCCCACACTGGTCTCGAACACTAGGCTTACCAGGTGTGATGGCTCACGCCTATAATCCCAGCACTTTGGGGAACCGAGGCGGGCGGATCCCTTGAGGTCAGGAGTTTGAGACCAGCCTGGCCAACATGGTGAAAACCCGTCTCTACTAATAATACAAGTTTAGCCAGGCGCGGTGGCGCGTGCCTGTAGTTCTGGCTACTCAGGAGGGTGAGGCATGAGAATCGCCTGAGCCCAGGAGGTGGAGGTTGCGGTGAGTTGAGATCGCGCCACTGCCCTCCAGCCCGGGGACAGAGCAAGACTGTCTCAAAAACACACAAACAAACAAAACGAACCATTGGCTCAAGTGATCCTCCCACTTCTGCCTCCCAAAGTGAGCTGCTGTGCCCCGCTGGATTTTTTTTTTTTTTTTTTTTTTTTTTGGTGGGGGGGACAGGGTCTCCTTTGTGACTAGACTGGAGTGCAGTGTTGCGATCTCAGCTCCCTGCAGCCTCCATCTCCCGGGTTCAAGCAATTCTTCTGCCTCAGCCTCCCGAGTAGCTGGGACTACAGGTGCCCACCACCACACCTATGCAATTTTTTGTATCTTTAGAAGAGATGGGGTTTCACTATGTTGGCCAGGCTGGTCTTGAACTCCTAACCTCAAGTGATCCACCTGCCTCGACCTCCCAAAGTGCTGGGATTACAGGCGTGAGCCTCCGTGCCAGGCCTGGATTTGGGTTTTAAAAGCAGCTTTGGGAGGGAGCTGAGGCCAGGCCGGACTGGCACGGCCTGGGGAGGGGCCCCTGTCGGGGGGCTGCACGCACGATCTGGGGGTCGCTGGCCACGCCGCTGCTGTAGGTGGTGGTGAGGGTGGAGGCGCAGGCTTCGCTGTACCAGGGCACGCGACCGTGCCGGGTGGCGCTGCCCACGGAGAGCGTGTAAATGCTGTTGGTGTAACCGTCGCAGTTACAGTTGTCGTAATGGAGGCCACCGTTGCCCGAGGCCCAGATGAAGAGCGTGCCCAGCCCGCCGCGGCCCTGGGAAACCAGGAGGGGTGGCGAGTGGGCATGGCCCAGGCCTGCCATCCCTGCCCTCCTCGGGGCGCTCCCACTCACCTTGGTCACACCTTGCCGAAAGGCCTCGCGGGTGAGGAAGCCGGGCCCGTCCACCGTGCGGCCGTCGTCCTCGGGGCCCCAGCTGGCGCTGTAGATGTGGATGTACTGCGGCCGCAGGCTGAGCGACTGGGCCTCGATGGCGTCCGTGACGGGCCCGTCCAGCATCCGCACGCCTGCAGGGGGATGGGGGGCAGGGGGCCTCTGCCACCAGCCCTGCCCTTCCCTGCACCCCAGGCTGCCCCAGGTCTCCACACCACTCCCCAGCCCCACTCGGGCCCTCTCTCTGCTCCCTGGAGGGGCCGTTCGTACTGGTTCAGCTCCCGAAAGCCCTGGAGTCTGGTCCTGGCACCACCCAGCAGTGAGAGGGTGGGCGCCGGAGTCCTCCTCCCCTGGTCGGTGCACCCAGCTCCCCCCAGCATCACCCCCTTCACCCTCCGTCCCCAAATGGTGCCTCTGGGGGACCCTGGGTACCTCCGATTCGGGCGTTGAAGGCGACCCCGACACCGCAGAAGCCATTGTTGGCCATTGCAGCCACCTCCCCAGCACAGCGGGTCCCGTGCCTGGTGCCAGGGCCAAGAAGGGCTCCCGTCACGGCCTCCATCCTCCTGCCGGGCACTGGGGCTGCGTCTGTGCGCTGTGGGAGCCCTGCTTACCGGTTCTCATCGCTGGGGCTGTAGCGAGGCTGGGGGTCCGGGTCGTAGTTATTAAAGTCGTAGCTGGCCAGGGGGTCCTGGGGGTGGGTGGGGATTTGAGGGGGTGAGGGGGCTTCGAGGTGTCCCTGCGGTGGAACCGGTCTCGGCACCTGGGGCAGCCCCCGCCCCCAGCCACCCACGGTCTCACGTAGTTGGCCCAGAGGTCCGGGTGGTCCTTCTCGATGCCATCGTCCAGCACAGAGACCACGACACCCCGGCCCGACAGCCCCTGGCCCCAGGCCTGCAGGACGTTCAGGTCTGGCTGTGCCTCGCTGTTCTGCAGGGAAGGTGGGGTCATGACCCCGTGAGGACCTGGCGGGGGGGGGGGGTGCCAGCAGCCCCAGCCCCGCCCACCTGCCCTGGCTGCCCGCTCACCATGTACCACTGCTTGGAGAACCAGGGGTCTGTGGGCACCACCACAGAGCGTCTCACCCTGCGCTGCAGCGTCTGCTGCTGGAACCACTGCACCTGCAAGGTGGAGGGCGCGTCGGGCCTGTCCCCTGCTCCCCCATGGGGCCCCTCGTGGTTCAGGGAGTGAGGCAGCCCCATGCCCTGGGACCCCGTGTTTGTAGGGGCTGCTCTCCTGCTCCACCCAGCAGGGCCGTATGCCCTGGTACAGCGAAGCCTGCGCCTCCACCCTCACTACCACCTACAGCAGCGGCATGGCCAGTGACCCCCAGATCGTGAGTGCAGCCCCCAACAGGGGCCCCTCCCCGGGCCGTGCCAGCCAAGCCTGGCCTCCTCACCTCCCTCCTGTCCCCACCACTGACTCAGCAGCCTTACAAAGCTGCTTTTAAAACCCAAATCCAGGCCGGGCACAGTGGCTCATGCCTGTAATCCCAGCGCGCTGGGAGGTTGAGGCAGGCAGATCACTTGAGGTCAGCAGGGTCCCCATGTGCCTGGGGCTCTGTCTATAGTCAGAGGGGCCAAGGCTCTCAAACCACCTGTCCTTGAGCCCACAGACTGCGTCGCTGCTGCCCAGGGTGACTCGAGGTCCCCAGGTCCCTACCCCACTCCTTCCCCCATCCCTGTTCTAGATCCTTCTGTCTCTCTCCTGCATCACTTCCTTTTTTTTTTTTTTTTTTTTTGAAACAGAGTCTCTCACTCTATCACCCAGGCTGGAGTGCAGTGGTGTGATCCCAGTTCGCCGCAACCTCCACCTCCCAGGTTTAAGTGACTCTCCTGCGTCAGCCTCCCGAGTAGCTGGGACTACAGGCACTCACCACCATGCCCGAGAATTTTTGTATTTTTCAGTAGAGATGGGGTTTCACCATGTTGGTCAGGTTGGTCTCGAACACCTGACCGTCAAGTGATCTGCCCACCTCGGACTCCCAAAGTGCTGAGATTACAGGTGTGAGTCACCATGCCCAGCCTGGCTTCTCTCTTGGAAACCACATCGGAGCCACTGCTCTCCCTCCCTATGCTATGAGCAGGCAGCTGTCAAAGTCCTGCTCATGGCACTTCCTGGCCTCCAAAGGCTTCCCAGGCCCCATCTCATCCTGTCAGCTTGGCATTTGAGGTACTTTCTGGGCGTGGTCCAGCCCGATCAGACCCAGGCCCCTTTCTGAGCATCCGGACACTGTGTCCTGAGGGACTGGGTAACTTCAAGCCTCCTACTCTTTGGAACCCATTTCGTCGTAAAATGAGCCAACCCCTTTCCCTCCATCCTCTGATCTAGATGGTGGGGAAGGCATGCCATCTGTCCCTCCTTACCAGAGACCCTGGGGCTCAGAGGAGGTGGAGGAGGGCAAGAGGTGCCCACCGTGTACGAGGCCCTGGTAGGCATCATGATTTCTGTGTTTGGGTCTCCCTGCTCTTCCCTGCCACATAGACTTGGGGTCGGGGTGGGTCCGAGCCACAGAAAGCACACAGCCGTTCATAACAGCCACGAGAATCACAGAAGGTGGCTAGGGCCCCCGGATACAGCTGAGACCGCCTCCAGGCCAGGCTCACCTTGGGGTCTTTCTTCAGGCGCAGGTGGTGGCCCCAGTGCGGGGTCAGGGACTGCTGGACCACTGCCCCGGTGCCACAGGTGAAAGTACTGCCCGTCAGGGAAGATCTGGGGATGTGGGGAAGCGGCCGCAGGGATCGAACCCGCTCCCCTGCTGGAGCCCCCGAGGGCCGGGAAACAGCCCGCTGCCTTGTCCTTCCCCACCAAGTGCCCTCAGAGACTGAGCTTGGCTGATGCAGGGGTGGGCTGGGGCTCCTGATATTTAGGAGACCTTGGGGGCTCCCTCCCACTTATCGGGGTCTGGGGTCGTCCAGTCCCCTCAAGCCCCCACTTCCTGTCCATCCCGGTCCCACCCACCGGTCCCAGGTTGACGAAGCCGAATTTGCGTGCCAGGCGCTCGGCCTCCCGGTTCCCCGGGGACACCCGCACGGCCCAGCTGCTGACATAGATGGGGGCCCGGGGAGAGGCCCACCCCACAGCCAGGGGGCCTACGAGGGCCAGGGCCAAGGCCAGGCGCAGCCATAGCGCAAGCGGGGCGGGCCTCATGAAGGCGGGGCGGGGAGGTGGGCGGGGCCTGCGCAAGGCCCTCCCCCGCCAAACCGCCGACCGGGCCCAGGCGCCCGCCCCGCCCCTGGCGCCATGGCAACGCGGAAGGCTTCGACTCCCAAGGGGCCTTGAGGCTACCCGCGCCGAGAGGCGCGAAGATCGGACAGAAGCGGGGAGGGAGGCACGCCTGCCGGTCTTCTGCAGAGCCACATCCTCGGGAGCCTCAGTTCCCCCATTTGTACAACGGCAAGAATCTAAACCAGAGAAGGGGAGTCGCTGTCGTGGTAACGCCTCCCGCCCTTTCTTTGGCCACGCCCACTTTCCCACACACCCTCTCCTTCGAGAATCAGCCCGGCCTCCTATCCTGCCCAATTAGAATCGCTCTATCGAATAATCCCGCCTCCTCCGATAAGCCCCGCCCAATTCCCCCCGCCCCGACTATTCCGCCCCGCCTCCTTTATGAATCAGACCCGCCCCTCCTCTGGTCTCACCAATCAATCGCGTTCCGCTTTCCCCAATCGGCTCGGATTTTTCTCCAGCCCCGCCCACAGGCTCCGCCCCCCACCGCGTGCGGCTCTACGCCCTAGCTCCACCCCCTCAGCGTCGCAGCCAATAATCCCGTCCTCTGACACGCCCCTCCAATCAGCTACGTCTCGCTCCCGCCCGGCCAATCGGCGCCCTGGGCTGGCGCGCCCCGCCCTCTCCCGGCGGGGTCTGGGCAGCGGCGGCCGCAGCCCCCCAGAGGGCGATGCGGCGAGGGAGACGGGGCAGGCCCCACCTCCTTTGTCCGCCCTGCCCTCCCATTGGTCCGGGCGGGGGGCCGGGGGCGGACACCGGCGCGGGGCCGGGACCGCGCGGCTCCGGCTGCGGGAAAGCTGCGCGCGTGCAGCGGGGCGGACGCGCGGGGCCGCGGGCGAGCTCGAGCAGCCAACCCCGGGCGCGCCGGGGCCATGGACGGGCTGAGCCAGCGCGTGGAGCGCTTCCTGGAGCAGAGGAACCCGGTCACCGACGCGCTGGGGGCGCTGGAGGCCAAGACCGGGGTGGAGAGGCGGTACCTGGCTGCAGGTGAGCCGTCGGCGATCGCCCGTCTCACCGACGGGCACGCCGAGGCCACGGGCCCGGGGGTCGCGGATCGGACTCCCTCCCCGGCTGCGGCGTCCGGTCCGGCCGGTGGAGCGCGCGGGGTGACCGGAGCCTCGGGATCCGCCCGCGCCCCCCCTTTCCAGCCTCCGTCCCAGGCCGCCCCCCGCCGCCTCCTTCCCGGCGCTGGGTGCCCGCCACGCCGAAGTCCGGTTCTTCCAGTGGCCTGGCGGCCCCGGAGGGGTGGAGGTGGGGATGCCCGTGTTCTGCGCGTCTCCCGGTCCCCTGCCCACGTGGACCCCGGCCTGGCTGCAACAGTAGCGATCTTTGCATTTTCCCGAGGCGGGGAGGGGAACACACCGTCCCGGGGGGCTAAGGGGTGCTGCCCGGTACTCTCCTCCCGGCTGGCCGAGCTCTCCTTCCCCCCCGGCTCAATGGCTTAGTGCCATAGTGCCACTGTGCGCAAATATTTGTTAAGACGGAGTTGGGTTGTCTGACAGCTGGGATGGGGGAAGGCTGGACGGGCGCCCACGGAGCTCCAGATCCCGGCACCCCGATTGTGACTCCATTCCAGTTCTCCTGGTCCTTTCCGCCTTGGTGACACTGTGCGGCCCTGCCCCTTTCCAAAACTTTGTCTAGAAAGAGCATGTAGTAATCGCTCCTTAAATGCCTCCCTCTCCACCTTTAAAAGTTTTTTTCTTTTTTTTTTTTTTTTTTTTTTTTTTTTGAGAGGGAGTCTTGCTCTGTTGCCCAGGCTGGAGTGCAATGGTGAGATCTCGGCTCACTGCAACCTCCACCTCCCGGGTTCAAGCAATTCTCCTGCCTCAGCCTCCCGAGTAGCTGGGACTACAGGTATGTGCCACCACACCCAGCTAAATTTTGTACTTTTAGTAGAGATGCGGTTTCACCATGTTGGCCAGGCTGGTCTCGAACTCCTGACCTCAGGTGATCCACCCACCTGGACCTCCCAAAGTGCTGGGATTACAGGCGTGAACCGCCGTGCCCAGCCTAAAACTTTTTTTGAATTAACTTTTTTTAAGAGACAGGGTCTCACTGTGTTACCCAGGTCAGTGTCAAACTGGGCTGAAGGGATCCTCCTGCCTCAGCCTCCCAAAGCTCTGGGATTACAGGAGGGAGCCACTGTACCCAGCCTTTCTTCCCTTTGTGTGGTGCTCCCAGCCCCACCGGCCCTGACTTCTTTTCCAGGGAGCCTGGCAGAATGACTCACAGGAGTTTTCGCTAGCCTGGGGTACAGTGGGTAGAGGGTGTCACTTCTTTGATCGCCTTCTGCAGGCAGATCCCGGGACTCCAGTTTCCCCCATTTTCCCACCATCCGGGATTTCCCAGGGCTGGCAGCCCCAGGACAGTCTGAAATCTGTTCCCAGACCCTGGAAGTCCCCAGGTGCCTGGTCCCACGTGCACAGCACAGCAGGTGGCATGGCCCCCTTTGCCTGCCCCGTGGAGCAGGCCCCTGACCTCTGCCCTCCCTTTCCACATCCCTGGGGCCAGTGGGCGGGAATTGGGTCATAGAACGCCCAGGAGGCAGGCAGCAGGGCCGGGCTGGCTGGGTTGCTGTGTTGCCAGGGAGGAGGCTGAGGTACAGGGAGGCAGGGGCTGCCTATGTGCCCCCTCTGTCTGAAGCATACACTCCCTCCACCCCGCCCACCCCAGTCCCATCTGCTGCTCATCTTGGGTGCTGTGCCCCCCCTCCACTGTTCCGATGTTCAAGGTCATCCTCTCAGTGCTGAACCTGCAGAAAAAGGGATTTAAGGGAGGGACACCCTGGGAGAGCCACTCCTCCCCCACCAGGGAGGCCGGGGGAAAGGTGGCGTTCCCTCATCCCCCCCTCCCCGCCGCAACCCCCCAGCAACCCCACACCTCCTTTAAATCCACACGTCCCACGCCCCTGGGTAACATGAAGAAACTCAGAGGAGACAGTAGCCCAGGGGCCGCATAGCCTGCTGGGACCAGCTGGGGGACCCCTCCTACCCCTGACCTTGGGTGCTTGTCGATAAAGACTGATGCCGGCGGAGGGGAGGGCTGGGCTGCGGAACTTGGGCCTCTGCCCTTTGGTCCAGAAGTGGCCTCTATCTCTCTCTGCAGATAGCAGCCCCAGGGGAGGAGAACGGAGGCTGTCCAAATCTTCTGAGCCCAGAGGTTCCCTGTGTGACCTTGGGCAGCACCCACCCAGCCCAGCTCTGGCTGTTGAATGAGACAGTTCAGGGAAAGCACAGAACCCGGCACACAGTAGGCGCTTAATAAATGCAGCTGTCATAGTCATTCTTTTCAGAGCCAGGTTCAGGATTGGGGCAGAGCTGGACACACATACACACACACACACACACACACACACACACACACACACACTTCTCTCTGAACACCCTCCTTGCTGGAACTGTGTTACAGTTGGCTGAAGGCACTTAATAAATGTACAGGAAGGCCGGGTGCCGTGGCTCACACCTGTAATCCCAACACAGAGGTGGACGGATCACCTGAGGTCAGGAGTTTGAGACCAACCTGGTCAACACGGTGAAACCCCATGTCTACTAAAAATACAAAAATCAGCCTGGCATGGTCGTACACGCCTGTCATCCCAGCTACTTGGGAGGCTGAGGCACGAGAATCGCTTGAGTCCAGGAGGCGGAGGTTGCAGTGAGGCAGGACTGTGCCACTGCACTCCAGGCTGGGCAGCAGAGCAAGACTCCGTCTCAAAAAAATTAAAATAAATGTGCAGAATTGGTTCTCTTTGTTAACTTGTAACCCTAAGAGGCAGGGGCTGTTACTACTCCCACTTATCGAGGGGGAAACTCAGGCTCCATGCAGCCAGAGCCTTGCTTGGTGCCAGCTGCTGAATGCTCTCCTCCTCCAGGGACACTCTCCTCTCTCCAGAGGGCTCTCCTCCTCCTGGGACACTGAGATGCTGAGGTGTGCCGGGCCCACGACAGGGGTTCTCAAAGGAGATAGTGCCGCCCCCCATCCTGGGGACACTGGCTGATGTCTGGGGATGTCTGTGGTTGTCAGGACTGGGGAGCTGATGGCATAGAGCGGGTAGAGGACAGGGACACTGCTCAGAACCCCGCAGTGCCCGGATGGCCTCCTGCCCCTCCCCGAGGAAAACCACCAAGAATGACCCAGCCCTAAACCTCTGCAGTGCCGAGGCAGAGAAACCCTTCCCTGAGATAGCGGATAAAACGATTGCCTTTCTCAGCTCTGGAATCAAGTCTTCGTGACAGCCCCGCCTCCCTTTCAGGTTTCTGCCTTCCCTGACATTGAAACACTGGCCTCCTTTCCCAGGGCCTCCCACAGGGCCTGGAATGAGATAGGTATCATTGAAGATTACATTGTTTTTGTTTGTTTGAAGACAGAGTCTGGCTCTGTCACCCAGGCTGGAGTGCGGTGGTGCAACCTCCACCTCCCGGGTTCAAGCGATTCTCGTGCCGCAGCCTCCTGAGTAGCTGGGATTACAGGCGCCTGCCACCACGCTGAGCTAATTTTTGTATTTTTAGTAGAGATGGGGTTTCACCGTGCTGGCCAGGCTGGTCTCGAACCCCTGACTTCAGGTAATCCACCCGCCTCAGCCTTCCAAAGTGCTGGGATTACAGTCATGAGCCACCGCACCCGGCCAGATTACACTCATTCACTCCACAAACGCTTATTGGGGAGCTATTCTGCACCCACCCACTGCCCAGCGTCAGGCTCCTGCGTGCCCTTGGGAGCTCCAAACCCTGGGAGAGGGGGGACATGGAGTCATGGACCAGTTACAGGTGAAAGGCTTGGGGTTTAGGGGCACGATGGGGGATGCACAGACACTTTGTGGGCAGTGGTGACACCCTAGAGGCATCACGGAGGCTTCTGGGAGGAGGTGGCGGTTGCAGGCTCCCAGGAGGAAGCCTGGTGCCATCACGGGGGTCAGAGGGGCCCTGGCCCTGGCCCACCGCCTCCTCTCTCTGGCAGGAGCCGTCACTCTGCTAAGCCTGTATCTGCTGTTCGGCTACGGAGCGTCTCTGCTGTGCAATCTCATCGGATTTGCATACCCCGCATATGCTTCGTGAGTGCACGGCTGGCTACGCGCGTGGTGGGGGCTGGGGGGTTCCCGGGCAGCCCCTGACCCTGCCACGCCTCCCTGCAGAATCAAAGCTATCGAGAGCCCAAGCAAGGACGACGACACTGTGTGGCTCACCTACTGGGTGGTGTACGCCCTGTTCAGCCTGGCCGAGTTCTTCAGCGACCTACTCCTATCCTGGTTCCCTTTCTACTACGTGGGCAAGGTGGGCCCTGCCGGGGCGGGCACAGCCGTGGAGCGCAGGGGGCTCGGGGATTCCTGGGAGGCATTGGGGCCAGAGGTCCAGAGGAGATGAGATGGGGGATGTGAGAAGACTCAGTCCCTTCCCAGGGAAACAGGCCCCATCCAGGGGCTGATGGTGGAGGGCCCACCCTAAAGGGTGTCTGATGGTGTAGACCCAAGCCTGCTCCAATAGGATGTCTCATGGCGGAGGGCTCACCCTAAAGGATGTCTGATGGTGGAGGGCTCACCCTAAAGGGTGTCTGATGGTGGAGGGCTCACCCTAAAGGATGTCTGATGGTGGAGGGCTTACCCTAAAGGGTGTCTGATGGTAGAGGGCTCACCCTAAAGGATGTCTGATGGTGGAGGCTCACCCTAAAGGGTGTCTGATGGTGGAGGCTCCCCCCAAAGGATGTCTGATGGTGTAGACCCAAGCCTGCTCCAATAGGATGTCTCATGGCGGAGGGTTCACCCTAAAGGATGTCTGATGGTGGAGGCTCACCCTAAAGGATGTCTGATGGTGGAGACCCCGTTCCTGCCCAGGGTGGGCATCTGGTGGCGTGGCGTGGCCCGTCTCCCTCCCAGGGGCACGGAGCTGGGTGGGGCCGCGTGTGACCCGTGCCTCGCCCTGCAGTGCGCCTTCCTGTTGTTCTGCATGGCTCCCAGGCCCTGGAACGGGGCTCTCATGCTGTACCACCGCGTCGTGCGCCCGCTGTTCCTAAAGCACCACGGGGCCGTGGACAGAATCGTGAACAACCTCAGCGGGCGAGCCCTGGACACGGCGGCCGGAATAACCAGGAACGGTGGGTGCGCGCGGGCGCCCGGCCGCCTCTGGCTGTGTCCTGGGTCTCGACCTGTCTGTCCCCACCGAGCCTCCCTTCCTGACTTTGACCGCCCCTTGTCTGGCATCTCGGCCACCCCCTCACACTGTCCGCCTCTCTCTCTCATGCTTTCGGGAACCAGCCTTGCAGGCCCTGGCCCGCAGCGGGGCAAGCATCACCCCTGCGGCTGTGGCAGGGCCCTCCACTCCCCTGGAGGCTGACCGTACGTAACCCCTTTGGGGAGGTAGGAGCTGTGTGTGTGAGTGTATGTTTGCTGCGTGCATATGTGTTGTGTGTGCGTGTGCAGGCATGTGTTTGGTGTGTGCATGTGTGTACCTGTGCGTGAGTGTATATATGTGGGCATATGGCGTGGGCATGTGTGGACATGTTTGATGTGTGCATGTGTGTACGTGTGCATGAGTGTGTATATGTGTGGGCATGTGTTTGGTGTGTGCATGTGTATGTGCGCATGAATGTGTATGTGTGCACGTGTGGGCGTGTTTGATGTGTGCATGTGTGTACGTGTGCGTGTGTATGTGTGCATGTGTGTACGTGTGGATGAGTGTGTGTGCATGGGCTGAAGCTGTTTGGTGTTTCTGTGTGTGCATGAGTGAGCAAGGGAGTGAGCATGTGTTTTCTCCCATGTGCGTGTGAGTGCACATTGCATGTGTGTGCACATAGGCGTGTGTCTGCACCTATCTGTGCATGGGTTGGCATGAGAGCATGCGTGTGGTCCACATCTTCTCTGCTGATGGTGGCTGCCAGGCCCCTCGACTCACCCCATGGCAGCAGCCCGCAGAGCCCAGGCCTGCCTCACCCCCACCCACCCCTCTCTCTGCAGCGAAGCCAAGCCAGACCCTGCCGCCGAGGGACAAGTGAAGCAGCCCCCGGGCCCTAGCAAGGGCCTCCTGGCCGGTGAGAAGGGGGCCGCGCCAGGCTCCCAGCCCTCCACAGAGTCTTCTGCGGATTCCCAGCCAGCGGCCCCTGCCAGTGCCCCGGGTCCAGGCAGGGCCCAGAGGGTCTCCTTAAATGCCACCTCGGAAAAGCCCCAGTCCCAGATCTCGACCACGAGTTCTGGATCCCAGAACCAGCTTCCCGCCGGCCCTGCTGCTGCCTCCTGGCCGACCCGCAAGGCCCAGGGCCAGCGTCGGGCACAGGGAAACTCCCGCCGACCTCAGCCGCACACCCAGCCGCCCGAGACTTCCCCCTCCCAGCTAGCCGTCCAGTCCCCCGGGCCCCTACAGCAACCCAACGTCACCTCCAGCCCGGCCTTACCCGGGGACCAGCCTCCCAGCAGCACCAACAGCCCCACGCAGCCCCCCAGCAAGCCCCCTAGCGAGCCAGAGGACGCAGCCCCCAAGACCACCGGACAGACCGAGAAGCCATCCTCGAAAGAGCCTGCCAGCGGCACCTCCGTGCGCGAGGTGGTCCCCTGCCACTCCGAGAGCTCTCTGGAGTACACTTCCGAATCCACCACGGAGATCACCTGCAGCTGGCCACACAGGCTGCGGTGCCTTCAGCACTACTGGCGCCTGAAACACCTGGCCTGCTAGGAGGGCCTCAATAAAGCTCATCCGGACCACACCTGTGCGCCACACCTGTGTGCTGGGGTCTCGGGGCGCGTCTGCGAGGGCACCGTGCCGTTTAATCAGGCCTGAGTCTCAGCTGTGTGGACCAGCCCATTTAACAGATAAGAAGACTGAGGCCCAGAGAGGCTAATTGACCCACTAAAGGCCCAGCCAAATGGCCAAGATGGGCGCAAGTCCCAGAAACGCTTGTCCTTCCCCGAAGTGCCTTCTCCCTCCCCTCCCAAAATAGTTGTCCAGCCTATTTGCATTCACCTTCTTCTCTTAAAACTCTCCAAGGTCGGGTGCGGCGGCTCATGCCTGTATCCCAGCAATCTGGGAGGCTGAGGCAGGTGGGTGGGGGGGTGGTTCACTTGATGTTGGGAGTTCGAGACCAGCCTGGGCAACATTGTGAAACCCCCATCTCTACTGAAAATACAAAAATGGCCGGGTGTGGTGGCTCATGCCTGTAATCCCAGCACTTTGGGAGGCCGAGGCAGGTGGATCAGCTGAGGTTGGGAGTTCAAGACCAGCCTGACCAACAAGGAGAAACCCTGTCTCTACTAAAAATACAAAAAAATTAGCCAGGCATGGTGGCACGTGCCTGTAGTCCCAGCTACTCGGGAGGCTGAGGCAGGAGAATCACTTGAACCCAGGAGGTGGAGGTTGCGGTGAGCCAAGACTGCGCCACTGCACTCCAGCCTGGGTAACAAGAACAAAACTTGGTCTCAAAAGAAGAGAAAAAAAGACCAGGCACGGTGGCTCAAGCCTGTAATCCCAACACTTTGGGAGGCCAAGGCGGGTGGATCACGAGGTCAAGAGATCGAGACCATCCTGGTCAACATGGTGAAACCCCGTCTCTACTAAAAATACAAAAATTAGCTGGGCATGGTGGGAAATGCCTGTAGTTCCAGCTACTCGGGAGGCTGAGGCAGGAGAATCACTTGAACCCAGGAGGCAGAGGTTGCGGTGAGCCGAGATTGCGCCATTGCACTCCAGCCTGGGTAACAAGAGCGAGACTTGATATTATATTTGCCTAAGGGGCCATAACTCAGTGTTTTACAGCCGGGAGCAGTTTTGTCCCTGGGCCTTTGGGTCTCGTCTGGAGACACTTTTTTGGGGGGAGGGGAGTGAACCCAGGTTGTGGCTTTGTTGCCAAGATTGGGGTGCAGTGGCGCAATCATGGCTCCTTGTAGCCTCGACCTTCTGGGATCAAGACATCCTCCTCCCTTGGCCTCCTGTGTAGCTGGGACTATAGGCACGCACCACCATGCCTGGCCACGATCGTGGCACTGCACTCCAGCCTAGGCAATGGAGGGAGACCCTGTCTCCAAAAGGAAAAAAGAATGGTCAGCCAGGCGCAGTGGCTCACACCTGTAATCCCCAGCACGTTGGGAGGCCAAATCGGGTGGATGACCTGCGGTCAAGAGTTTGAGACCAGCCTGACCAACATGGTGAAACACTGTTTCTGCTACAAACTACAGTAATCAGCCAGGTATGGTGGCACATGCCTGTAGTCCCAGCTACCTGGGAGACTGAGGCAAGAGAATCACTTGAGCCTGGGAGGCAGAGGTTGCAGTGAGCGGAGATCGCGCCATTGCACTCCAGCCTGCGTGACAGAGTGAGACTTCATCTGAAAAAAAAAAAAAAAAGAGTGTTACAGGCAGAAGGCATAGCCTGTGCCAAGGCCCTGAGGCAGGACCATGCTAGTGAGTGGGGGCAACAGGGAGGAGGCCCCTGTGGCTGGAGCAGAGAATATGAGGGCAGAGAGGAGGGCAGTCTTCGGGGCTGCACCACGCAGGTGCTGAGAGGGCTTGGGGGGACTTCGTCTTTTCATTTTTTTCGAGATGGAGTTCTGCTCTTGTTACCCAGGCTGGAGGGCAGAGGCACAATCTCACCGCAACCTCTGCCTTCTGGGTTCAAGCGATTTTCCTGCCTCAGTCTCCCGAGTAGCTGGGATGACAGGCACGAGCCACCACGCCCGGCTAATTTTGTATTTTTAGTAGAGACGGAGTTTCTCCATGTTGGTCAGGCTGGTCTCAAACTCCCGACCTCAGATGACCCTTGGCGTTCCAAAGCCTTGGGATTGCAGGCGTGAGCCACCACGCCCAAGACTTTGTCTTTTACTCAGGGTGCAGGATGTATCAGAGGGAAAGAGAAGGGTAATTATTAATCAACCTGCATCCGGGACCACACGGGGATGGTAGGCAGGGCTCTCAGAATCCTCGGATCACAGCCCAGCTGGTGTGAAGAATGTGGTCTGGCCGTGGCCCCGGGGAAGGACATAGGGTGCCCGGCTCGCTCTGCACCTGGCACCTTCTCTCACCTTCACCGGCAGGGGAGCAGCAAAACTGACTCCGGCCCGCCCAGGTCAGCACCCTCAGGGAGCACAGGTGGGGAGGAGGATGCGTCTGTCTCACCAGCTGGAAATAGTGACCTTCAGCCCCTCATACTATTTTATTTTTTATTTTATTTATTTTTCTGAGGCCAAGTCTCTCTGTCGCCCAGGCTGGAGTGCAGTGGCATGATCCCGGCTCACTGCAACCTCTGCCTCCCGGGTTCAAGCGATTCTCCTGCCTCAGCCTCCCGAGTAGCTGGGATGACAGGCACCCACCACCATGCCCAGGCAATTGTGGTAGTTTTAGTAGAGATGGGTTTTCACCGTCTTGGCCAGGCTGGTCTCGACCTCTTGACCTGGTGATCCACCTGCCTCGGCCTCCCAAAGTGCTGGGATTACAGGCGTGAGTCACCGCGCCCGGCCTATTTTGTGTTTTAATTTATGTTTGAGATGGAGCCTCGCCCTGTCCCGCAGGCTGGAGTGCAATGGTGTGATCTCAGCTCACCGCAACCTCCGCCTCCCGGGTTCAAGAGATTCTCCTGCCTCAGCCTCCCTAGAAGCTGGCATTACAGGCGCCACCACGCCTGGCTAATTTTTGTATTTTTAGTAGAGACGGGGTTTCGCCATGTTGGCCAGGCTGGTGTCAAACTCCTGACCTCAGGTCATCCATCCACCTTGGCCTCCCGAAGTGCTGGGATTACAGCTGTGAGCTACCGTGCCTGGCCTGGCCCTCTATATCTCTTGTAAGGATCCTTGCCATTGGATTTCAGATCTGACCTAATTCCCGGATGATTTCATGTCAAGCTCCTTAGTTACAGGCTTTTACCAAGTGAGGTCACAGTAGGAGTTTCTGGGGGGTTAGGACTTGGACACCCCTATCTGACCCACTATAGCGATCGTACATCCAACTGTGGCAGACAGGGCCACACTGCGTTCCAAAGTGGTTTCACCGGCCGGGGGCGGTAGCTCAAACCTGTAATCCCAGCATTTTGGGAGGCCGAGGTGGGTGGATCACCTGAGGTCAGGAGTTCAAGGCCAGCATGGCCAACATGGTGAGGGGGCGGGTGTCTGTAGTTCTAGATACTCGGGAGGCTGAGGCAGGAGAATCGTTTGAACCTGGTAGGTGGTGGTTGCCATGAGCCAAGATGGAGCCACTGCCCTACAGCCTGGGCAACAGGAGCGAAACTCCAACTAAAATAAAAACAAAACCGACAAAAAACACCCACCGCGGTGTCATGCCAGCGCTGTGGGAGGCCGAGGCGGGCGGTTCACAAGGTCAGAAGTTTGAGACCAGTCTGGCCAACATAGTGAAACCCCGTCTCTCTCTACTAAAAATATAAATAATTGGCCGGGCACGGTGGCTCACGCCTGTAATCCTAGCACTTTGGGAGGCTGAGGTGGGTGGATCACCTGGGGTCAGGAGTTCAAGACTAGCCTGGCCATTATGGTGAAACCCCCACCTTTGAAAACAAGCAAACAAACAAAAATATATATAAATAGTTGGGTGTGGTGGCGAGCACCTGTCATCCCAGCTACTCGGGAGGCCGAGGCAGGACAATCGCGTGAAGCTGGGAGGCGGAGGTTGCAGTGAGCCGAGATCACGCCGCGGCCCACCAGCCTGGGTGAGACTCCGGGCTCCTGGGCTGTCATCCCGCGTCCGGCCGCCAGGGGACACCGCGGCCCCACGCATCCCTGTAGCAACCCACAGCCCCGGCCGGGGAGCTTCTGTGATGTCAATCACAGAGGGCACCATGTCACTCAAGCCACTGGCCGCTCCCGGGGGCCAGGCCTGGGCCGTCCCGGGTCCCACTGGGGTCCCTGGTATGCACTTGCAGAAATGTGTGAAGGGGCGCTGGGGAAGGACTCCGGGAAAGCCTAACTCCCATGTCAGAGCTGGCAGGGGCTTGGAGGGAGTCACTCACAGATGGGGAAACTGAGGCCAGGAGGGACTGCGCCTGGCCTGGGGTCACCAAGGTCAGGGGCCAAGTTCACCCATGTTGTACACCCGTGGCTGACTCCCTCTGCCTCTCCGACTGCTCCCTACCCAGTGGGTGCAGCTTAACCGTGCCTCGTGGTCAGCAGGGACCCTTGGAGCCCAGACACCGCAGGCCCCAGAGAGAAATGCAACCATGGTCCCACACACAGCAGGCTGTCCCACGTGGCAGCATGAGCTGTGCATCTGGGGTGGGAGCCGCAGGGTTGGCACCCCACAGGGGAGGGTTTGCTGAGCAACCTTGTGACACCCTCTGGCGCACGCACAGCCCACGCCGGCCCTCCTGGTTGCAGAAGAACATAGTGGGCTGGCAGCTGGCAGACAGCAGCGGCTCTCCCCTGCCTCCTCAGCGAGGAGGGTTTCCGGGTGGGCCTGAGAAAATATGCAGCAGGTGGGGGGCCCTCAGGATCTCCCGAAGGCCCGTTCCCCACCTGTGCCTATCCTCATACATTCCCTGCCCTCACCCCACACTGGGTCAGACATGCAGGGAGGAGGTGGGGCGTGGGTGACCACATGTGTCTACCCATGAGCAACACCGTGCCAGGGTTCTACCAGTGTGTCCCTGAGCCTCTGTGGCCAAGTGCATGCAACGGGGTGCTTTAAAAAAAAAAAAAAAGTGTCCTGCAACCATAAAAAAGAATGAGTTCGGCTGGGCGCAGTAGCTCACGCCTGCAATCCCAGCACTTTGGGAGGCCCAGGTGGGCAGATCACCTGAGGTCAGGAGTTCAAGACCACCCTGACCAACATGGAGAAATCCGGTCTCTACTAAACATACAAAATTAGCCGGGCGCGGTGGTACGTGCCTGTAATCCCAGCTACTTGGGATGCTGCGGTAGGAGAATCACTTGAACCCAGGAGGTAGAGATTGTGGTGAGCCAAGATCGAGCCATTACACTCCAGCCTGGGCGACGAGTGAAACTCCATCTCAAAAAAAAACAAAAAAGAATTAGTTTATGTCCTTTGCAGGGAAATGTATGAAGCTGCGATCACTCTCCGCCAACTGACACAGGAGCAGAAATCACACGCCACATGTTCTCACTTGTAAGTGGGACAGTGAGAACACATGGGCACAGCGAGGGGAGCATCACACACCGGGGCCTGTCGGCAGGTGGGGGCTGAGGGGAGGGACAGTATTAGGACAAATACCTAACGCACGAGGGACTTAAAACCTAGATGACAGGTTGATGGGTGCCACAAGCCACCACGGCACATACATACCTACGTAACAAACCCGCACGTTCTGCACGTGTCTCAGAACTTAAAGTAAATCTTTTTTAAAAAGTGCTTGTAAGCCGGGCGCAGTGGCTCACGCCCGTAATCCCAGCACTTGGGGAGGCTGAGGCGGGTGGATCACGAGGTCAAGAGAACGAGACCATCCTGGTCAACATGGTGAAACCCCGCCTCTACAAAAAAAAAAAAAAAATCAGCTGGGCGTGGTGGCGCGTGCCTGTAATCCCAGCTACTCAGGAGGCTGAGGCAGGAGAATTGCCTGAACCCAGGAGGCGGAGGTTGCAGTGAGCCGAGATCGCGCCATTGCACTCCAGCCTGGGTAACAAGAGCGAAACTCCGTCTCAAAAAAAAAAAAAAAAAAAAAAAGGGCTTGTAAAACTTAAAGAAGAGTAAAATGGGGGTGAACAGCCAGCACAATGGTGCAAGCCTGTAATACCAATGCTTTGGGAGGCCCAGCCAGGAGGATCATTTGAGGCCAGGAGTTGGAGACCATCCTGGGCAACATTGAGAGACCCCATCTCTACAAAAATTTAAAAGTTAGACGGGTGTGGTGATTCACTCCCGTGGTTCCAGCTACTGTGGAGGCTGAGGTAGGAGGATCACTTCAGCCCAGGAATTTGAGGCTGCAGTGAGTCATGACTGCACCACTGCACTGCAGCCTACGTGACAGAACAAGGCTCTGTCTCAAAAACAAAAACAAAAAAAAAAAAACGCCGGGCGCAGTGGCTCACACCTGTAATCCCAACCCTTTGGGAGGCTGAGACGGGAGGATCAGAGGTCAGGAGATGGAGACCATCCCCGTCTCTACTTTAAAAAAATACAAAATAATAGCTGGCCATGGTACCATGCACCTGTAATCCCAGCTACTTGGCAGGCTGAGGAGGGGAACTGCTTGAACCCGGGAGGCGGAGGTTGCAGTGAGCCGAGATGGCGCCACCACTGCACTCCAGCCTGGGTGACAGAGCTAGACTCCATCAAAAAAAAAAAAAAAAGAAAAGAAAAGAAAAGAAAAAAAAAGGAGGTGGTGAACACATGTTGATGGGTGGAAATCCAGCCAGAAATGCCCAGGCTGAAAAGACTGAGTTTCCTGGTAGGCAGGAAAAAAGGGAAATTGGTATGTTACAGTGCCTGGTAGGCATGTCTTCTAAGAGGCGTGCCAGCTTGTGACAGTGTCTCTGCCCTTCACATATCAGGGTGTGTGTGAGTAGAGGGAGGAGACACAGCAGTGCCAGGGAAGGAAACAGACGAGCTTGCTGGTGCCCAGGGCGGCAGTGTCTCCAAGCAAATGAGTGTGATGCAGAGAATGAACGCAGACTTAAACTTTCGGAGTTATAGTGCTCGCTTCGGCAGCACATATACTAAAACTGGAGCGCTACAGGGAAGATGAGCATGGCCCCTGCGCAAGGATGACACGCAAATTTGTGAAGCGTTCCATATTTAAAAAACAAAACAACAACAAAAAACAACTTTCTGAGTATAAATAGCTATGAGCTTCCTGGCAGCCAGGGAGAGAGGTGAAATAAGTCAGCGCCTCCTCAGTGTTTCCTCACCAGTGCCTGCTGGCTTGTGACAGTGAATGTGACTGCATGCAGAGGTGTCTGTGTGTGAGAGGGAGTCACAGAGCTGCAGGTGGGACACATTTCAGAGCTGCCTGGAAGCCAGGGTGACAGGGGAAATACGTTGACTTTGAGCCTGGTCAGATGTATGTTTCTTGCCGTGTGTAGCCAGGGTTCCCGGCGGATCAGACGGGACAGCGCAGGGCAGTCAGGCGTATGCGGCTGTCCTCGGCAGGGCTCCAGGGCCGGGCATAGCCGGCGTGGGGCAGCAGCAGCCGGTCCTGCGTGCCATCGGGGCTGACGAGGCGCTGGACAGCCAGCAGGTAGTCCCGGTGGGGTGCCAGCAGCGGGCAGGGGCAGCGGCCCGGTGCCCACACGTACTCGTGGGCCCGCAGTGGCGTGCGGTTCTTGTAGACGAGCTGGATACGCACCTCGTAGCGGGTCTCCTGGGCCTGGCGGTGGCGGCCCAGCACGCGGGCCTGGAACGCTGTGGGCAGGGTGGGCGCTGAGCTGGCTGCACGCTCCGCTCTGCACAAATCTCCACACCCCCGTTGCCAGAAGAGGGGCTGAGGGTCAGGTGGGACCTCGGGATGTACAGTGACTGGAGTCAGGCTCATGTCAGGGATCGACGAGGGGTCCAGGGTCACGTAAGGGTCAAATGAGGGTCAGGAGAAGGGGTCAAGTGTAAAGTGGGGTGAGGGGCAGAGACCAGGAGGAAGCCGGGTTAGAGGGGGCTAAGTGACGGGAGGGCCCAGGGGTCTCACCAAAGTCACTGGCGCAATAGTGAAGCAGTCGGTGGGCGCGGCCTCGGGTGTCGGGACAGGGTGGGCAGGGGTCTGTGGGGCGGGCAGTGCTGTGAGGGGCACGGACTCAGGCCCACCCGTCCCCCACCCTGGCCGTCCCCACCTCACCTGGGGTCAGGGGTGGGGTCTGTGCAGGGGAGACAGCGGGGGCTGCGGGGGGCTGTGGTTCCACCTCCCGGGGCTGCGGCTGCCGCAGGGGCCAGCCCAGGGCCTGCGCCCGAGCCTGGAAGGGGCTGTAGCGTTCCCGGGGGAGCCAGAACTCAAACTCGATGCCCGGGTTGGGCTCCTGCAGGAGGACCTGGAGAGGGGAGGCACAAGGAACTGCTCCAGAGGCTGAGTCGCCTCCTCCCTCTGATGCGCTGATCCCAGCCTCCCTCCTCTGACCCTGTCCCAGGCCTCCCTCCTCTGACCCTGTCCCAGCCTCTCTCCTCTGACCCTGTCCCAGCCTCCCTCCTCTGACCCTGTCCCAGCCTCCCTCCTCTGACCCTGTCCCAGCCTCTCTCCTCTGACCCTGTCCCAGGCCTCCCTCCTCTGACCCTGTCCCAGGCCTCTCCCCTCTGATCCTGTCCCCAACCTCCTCCCTCTGACCCTGTCCCAAGCCTACTGCCTCTGACCCTATCCCCAACCTCCTCCCTCTGACCCTGTCCCAGCCTCCCTCCTCTGATCCTGTCCCAGCCTCCCTCCTCTGACCCGTCCCAGCCTCCCTCCTCTGACCCTGTCCCAGCCTCCCTCCTCTGACCCTGTCCCAGCCTCCCTCCTCTGACCCGTCCCAGCCTCCCTCCTCTGACCCTGTCCCAGCCTCCCTCCTCTGACCCTGTCCCAGCCTCCCTCCTCTGACCCATCCCAGCCTCCCTCCTCTGACCCTGTCCCAGCCTCCCTCCTCTGACCCGTCCCAGCCTCCCTCCTCTGACCCTGTCCCAGCCTCCCTCCTCTGACCCTGTCCCAGCCTCCCTCCTCTGACCCTGTCCAGCCTCCCTCCTCTGACCCTGTCCCAGCCTCCCTCCTCTGACCCGTCCCAGCCTCCCTCCTCTGACCCTGTCCCAGCCTCTCTCCTCTGACCCTGTCCCAGGCCTCTCCCCTCTGATCCTTTCCCCAACCTCCTCCCTCTGACCCTGTCCCAAGCCTACTGCCTCTGACCCTATCCCCAACCTCTTCCCTCTGACCGTGTCCCAAGCCTACTGCCTCTGACCTTATCCCCAACCTCCTCCCTCTGACCCTGTCCCCAGCTTCCCTCCTCTGACCCTGTCCCCAGCCTCCCCACTCCGACCCTGTCTTCAGCTTCCCTCCTCTGATGCTCTGTCCCCAGCCTCCCCCAGCCCTGTCCCCAGCCTCCCTCCTCTGACCCTGTCTCTAACCTCCTCCCTGTGACCCTGTCCCCAGCCTCCTCCCTCTGACCCTGTTCCTGGCCTCCCTCCTCTGACCCTGTCCCCAGCATCCCCCTCTGACACTATCCCCAGCCTCCCTCCTCTGACTCTGTCCCCGGCCTCCATCCTCTGACTCTCTGTCCCCAGCCTCCCCCTTCTGACCCTGTCCCCAGCCTCTCCTCTCTGACCCCAGGCTCCCCCTTTTGGTCCCAGTCACCCCGCTCTGATCATCTGCCCCTAGCTTCTCCTGTCTCCAGCCTAACCCTTCTGACCCTCTTGTCACCAGCCTTCCGCCTCTGACCCTGTCCCAGGCCTCCCTCCTCTGACCCTGTCCCAGCCTCCCTCCTCTGACCCTGTCCCAGGCCTCCCTCCTCTGACCCTGTCCCAGCCTCCCTCCTCTGACCCTGTCCCAGCCTCCCTCCTCTGACCCTGTCCCAGCCTTCCTCCTTTGACCCTGTCCAGCCTCCCTCCTCTGACCCTGTCCAGCCTCTCTCCTCTGACCCTGTCCCAAGCCTCCCTCCTCTGACCCTGTCCCCGGCCTCCCTCCTCTGACCCTGTCCAGCCTCTCTCCTCTGACCCTGTCCAGCCTCTCTCCTCTGACCCTGTCCCAGCCTCCCTCCTCTGACCCTGTCCCAGGCCTCCCTCCTCTGACCCTGTCCCAGCCTCCCTCCTCTGACCCTGTCCCAGCCTTCCTCCTTTGACCCTGTCCAGCCTCCCTCCTCTGACCCTGTCCAGCCTCTCTCCTCTGACCCTGTCCCAAGCCTCCCTCCTCTGACCCTGTCCCCGGCCTCCCTCCTCTGACCCTGTCCAGCCTCCCTCCTCTGACCCTGTCCCAGCCTCCCTCCTCTGACCCTGTCCCAGCCTCCCTCCTCTGACCCTGTCCCAGGCCTCTCCCCTCTGATCCTGTCCCCAACCTCCTCCCTCTGACCCTGTCCCAAGCCTACTGCCTCTGACCCTATCCCCAACCTCCTCCCTCTGATCCTGTCCCAGCCTCCCTCCTCTGACCCTGTCCCAGCCTCCCTCCTCTGACCCTGTCCCAGCCTCCCTCCTCTGACCCTGTCCCAGCCTCCCTCCTCTGACCCGTCCCAGCCTCCCTCCTCTGACCCTGTCCCAGCCTCCCTCCTCTGACCCTGTCCCAGCCTCCCTCCTCTGACCCTGTCCCAGCCTCCCTCCTCTGACCCTGTCCCAGCCTCCCTCCTCTGACCCGTCCCAGCCTCCCTCCTCTGACCCTGTCCCAGCCTCTCTCCTCTGACCCTGTCCCAAGCCTCTCCCCTCTGATCCTTTCCCCAACCTCCTCCCTCTGACCCTGTCCCAAGCCTACTGCCTCTGACCTTATCCCCAACCTCCTCCCTCTGACTCTGTCCCCAGCTTCCCCCGGGTCCTCCCAAGCCTCCTCCCTCTGACCCTGTCCCCAGCTTCCCTCCTCTGACCCTGTCCCCAGCCTCCCCACTCCGACCCTGTCTTTAGCTTCCCTCCTCTGATGCTCTGTCCCCAGCCTCCCCCAGCCCTGTCCCCAGCCTCCCTCCTCTGACCCTGTCTCTAACCTCCTCTCTGTGACCCTGTCCCCAGCCTCCTCCCTCTGACCCTGTTCCCGGCCTCCCTCCTCTGACCCTGTCCCCAGCCTCCTCCCTCTGACCCTGTTCCTGGCCTCCCTCCTCTGACCCTGTCCCCAGCATCCCCCTCTGACACTGTCCCCGGCCTCCCCCTCGTTACACTGTCCCCAGCCTCCCTCCTCTGACTCTGTCCCCGGCCTCCATCCTCTGACTCTCTGTCCCCAGCCTCCCCCTTCTGACCCTGTCCCCAGCCTCTCCTCTCTGACCCCAGGCTCCCCCTTTTGGTCCCAGTCACCCCGCTCTGATCATCTGCCCCTAGCTTCTCCTCTCTGTCTCCAGCCTAACCCTTCTGACCCTCTTGTCACCAGCCTTCCACCTCTGACCCTGTCCCCAACCTCCCTCTTCCGAACCTGTCCCCAGCCTCCCCGCTCTGACGCTCTGCCCCCAGCCGACCCCGTTTGACCTTGTCCCCAGACTCCCATCTAACCCTCTGTTCCCAGCCGACCCTGTCACTAAACTCCCCTTGTAACCCTGCCCCCAGCTTCTCACTGCTGACGCTTTGTCCCCAGCCGACACCCTGTCACCAGCCTCCCCTCTCCGACCTTGTCCCCAACTGCACCCCCTCTGACCCCCTCTCTCACCAGCCCCCCTCTGACCCTCTTGGAGGCCCGGTGGCACCTGCAGGAGCAGGTCGGCGGAGGTGGGCCCGGCTGCGCGCAACGTCTCCTCGGGCCCTGGGTCGCGAGTGTAGACCACATGCGTGCCGGCCGCCTCGTAGGTCCCGGGCGGGCTGACTGCCCAGTCCCCGTTGAGGACGTAGCGCCCATCGCCCCCCATCAGCGCTGCAAGGGAACAGTCAGCCCTCAGGAGCCCATCTCGTCTCCCAGACCCTGGAGTCCCCTCCTCAGGCCTCAATCTCCCCATCTGCAAACAGGGATACCCCGCCCCCGGGTGGCCCGCCGGGTGCCTCCCGCATCAGACCCGAGGATACCCAGGTGGTTGCGGCTCCGGTGCGCCACGCGGATGTGCCTTGCGCCCTCGGGGATCAGGGTCACGTTCCAGTACCCAGCGAAGGCACCTGGCGGGGAGGGTAAGAGGGTGTTGGGGTGCCTGTGGGGGTGTATTTGAGCGATGACTTGAGCATTAAGTGAGCGACTGCGGGTAAGACAGCTAGCCAGGGTCCTGGGAACCGGAAACCCTCCCTAGTCGCTTCGGTGCGGCAGGGAAAGCGTTAAAACCCCATCTGCTCTGGGGAGGGTGGGACAATCTGTCAATAGCCAATCAGGATGAAGAGAAAGGGGGGCTGGGCCGCACACTAGCCAATCAGCACGGAAATTTGCTTCTGGGCCACAGCTTGTTAAAGGGCCCCGCGCTGACGTGTGTGCAGGGAGGACGGGGCGGGCAGTCACCGGCATCGCGAAACACGCGCTGCACGAATAGGCACGAGTCGTTGGCGCCTCCGCAGCGGCCACAGCGGTCCTCCAGGGCGCCGGAGCCCAGCAGCCCATCACAGCCGGCGCTCTAAAGGGTGAAGGACAGGTGCGCCGTGACTGACGCTGGGAGGGGCAAGACCTGGGGAAAGGGCTGAGCGTGGGAGTAAAAGGACAGGCCTGGCGGGAAGATGGGGGTGGAGCCTAGGGAGAGGCGGGGCCTGGAGTTGATGGGCGTGGCGCCCAAAGGGTGGGGCCTAAAGGTGGCCGGGGGCGGGACTAGTGATGGGCGGGGCTAGAAGGGGAGGGAGGGTGGAGCCTATGGATGGGTGGGGCCTCGGCGGGTGGGGCCTGGCGATGGGTGGAGCCTAGGGGGGCTGTGGGTGGAGCCTGAAAGGGAGTCAGGCTGGGCTCAGATTGGGCCCAGCGAGTCCTTACCAGGCAGCGGCCAGCCACGCAAACCCCATGGGCACCAGGGCTGCAGGCGGTGCCATCCAGGACGCGGCCGAAGCTGTGGTAGAAGGTGTGCCCTTCGGCCAGGCAGTTGAGGTCACACTGGCTGGGAGCTGAGGGCGGGAGGAGTCAGTGGGCCTGGGACTCCTATTCAAGTTCCAGTTTCCCTATACCAAGGTCCAGCAGGCAACCATCTGGGCAGATGAAGCCCAGAGATTCAGCCAAAGCCACATATCGAGGCGGAGGCAGAGCCAGGACTGGACCATAGGTGCTCCGCCTCCAGCAACCTAGGACTCCCAGGCAAGTATCCTGGGGCTGCATTCATTCATTCGTAGTCTTTATATTAGGAGTCCTTACATAGTATTCATTATTAACACCATTACTCATACTTCATTCCACTGAACACCTGTTTTCCAGATACTGTTCTAAGCTCTAGGATACAGAAGCAAGAACTCAATCAGTGTGCAGATGGCCAGGTGCAGTGGCTTACACCTGTAATCCCAGCACACTGGGAGGCTGATCTCCTAATCCCAGGAGTTCAAGACCAGCCTTGGCAACGTGGCGAGACCCCGTCTCTACCAAAAATACAAAAAATTAGCCAGGCGTGGTGGCATGTGACTGTGGTCCCAGATACTCAGGAGGCTGAGGTGGGAGAATCACTTGAACCAAGGAGGTGGAGGCTGCAGTGAGCCAAGGTGGTGCCACTGCACTCCAGCCTGGGTGACAGAGCAAGATTCCGTCTCAAAAAAAAAAAAAAAAAAAAAAAAAAAAAAATCTTAGCACCTCACCCAAGCAACCAGCAAGTGCCCAACGATGTGTTTGTCCAGTATACTGACTGAGTCTCATGCAACTGAGGTGTGTTGCTGGTCCTCCCTGGGCCTCAGTTTCCCCTTCTATCTGGAAGTGGGGCAAAATGGGCGTTCTGATCACACACTCAGGCTGACAGCCCTGACCCCTACTCCTCCAGCTCCAGCTCCTTCTGGGTCCTATTTCCCTGAGCCTGCGTGGTAGACTCTGCCTGGAACAGATCCTGGACTTGCCCTAGTGGGCCTCTGTGGGGTCAGACCCAGCAAGTTTCCTCCAATTCTCAGAGCAGGAAGGAAGGAAGGAAGGAAGGAAGGAAGGAAGGAAGGAAGGAGGGAAGGAAGGAGGGAGGGAGGGAGGGAAGGAGGGAAATGAGGTTGAAGGATGGCACTTTCTCTGTTCTAGGCTTTTCTTCTATCTGTGACTGCCTTCCCCATGGCGTGTGAAGCTGCCTGTCTCCCTGAAATCTGGAGACGCACTGCCCCGGGCACACAGTTATATAACTCGCTATTTTCAGCTCAATGCAGCAGCATTTCCTGCTACTGGGATAAGTTTGAGAACTGTTGGCCTCTGGATACAGCTCTAAGTAAATCCTCAGTCGGGTGTTCTGTCCCGGCACAGAACAGCCCTGTGCAGAATGGACCCTGCTTCCCTCTGCCCCTGTTCCACCCCTAACATATGCTGTTTCTGTTTCATTTCACCAACTCCTACATATTCTTCAAAGCCCTAGTGCTAATACCCTCTTCTCTTTGCAACACTCCAAGTCCCCCTCCCTCAGAGTAATGAGTTGTTCACTCTGGCCCAATCCTGACCACAGAAGACCAGGCTACTCACCCCCATAGAAGGGCACCCACTGGTAAGTTCTCTGGGTGCCCAGGACAGGGCGGTCATTGTACAGGGCACACTGTAGGTCTCGGAAAGGCACAGCCCCCGGGGGGCAGTCCTGGGGGCAGAGATAGGAGAGCCAGAGGCTGGGACAACCCCAGGGACAGGCGTGGGCTTCAGGGCAGCCTGGGGTGGCGAGGGCGTCTGGGAGGTGGGCAGGGCTTACCGGCAGTTGGCAGAGGCGGTACTCGTGGGAATCTCCCCAGCACGGCTGTTCCCCAGGAAGCCTGCAGGGAGCCAGAGTGTGGAGAGAACCCCCAGGGACCCCCTCCCAGGGCTGGCCTTCCACCCTCCACCCCCGCCAACCCCACCCGCATTCCAGCAGGATCAGCGGGATTAAAGGGCACAGCATGTGTGGGCAGGCCGAGGGTGCGGCCAGGGGCCGGGCTGGGCAGGGAGGGGGTGCAGGGACCCCCTCTCCCGGCCCGCTCACCGCAGGCAGCGCCGGCTGCGCACAGATACGCCCCGCCCGCAGGAGCTGGAGCAGCGGGTCCAGGACACCCACGGGGTCCACTCGCCCGGACCCTACTTGGGGAGACAGAGGCACGGTCAGCCTGGCAGGGGGGTGCTGTTGACCCCACACTGCTCCTGGGTCCCCATTTCCACTCACCACCCCCCAGGCTCATGTCCCCCCTTACCTGAGCACTGAGCCCCAAAGCACAGTTCAGCAGAGCCCACAGGAAGAGCGGGAGGTTCTGGAAGACGCGGGACCTGGAGAGCAGAGGGGCCGGGTCCAGGCAGCCACCGCCAGAGACACAGCGTTGTGTCCCGGCTCTGCCTTGACTGGCTGTGTGATCCGGGACAGTAACTAAACCTCTCTGAGCCCCACCTCTCCTCTCTGAAAAATGGGGTAACAGAGCCCCCCTTGTGGGAAAGTTGAGGGGTCCTATGGATTGGGTAAAGAAGACAGGAGGTATGGAACACCGATGGAGAAGAACTGTTATCTAAAATTATTACTGTTATTTAAAACAATAATTTAAAACTGTCATCTAAAATTATTACTGTTATTTTTTTTTGAGACGGGACACTCACTCTGTCTCCCAGGCTGGAGTGCAGTGGTGCAATCTTGGCTCACTGCAACCCTCCCGGGCTCAAGTGATTCTCCTGCCTCACCCTCCTGGAAGCTGGGATTACAGGTGCCCGCCACCACGCCTGGCTAATTCTCGTAGTTTTAGTAGAGATGGGGTTTCACCATCTTGGCCAGGCTGGTCTCCAACTCCTGACCTCAAGTGATCCACCCGCCTCCGCCTCCCAAAGTGCTGGGATTACAAGCATGAGCCACTGCCCACAGCCTGAAGTTATTATTGATTGTGTATTGTGCTGTAATGCACACAGTAGGTGCTTAATCGATGCTTGATGATTGAAGACATCATTCACGAATAGCAGACAGGTGACTCCTACGGCTGGGGCCCCTCCCTGCCCTTCCCACCATCCTGGCTTCTACCTTTCTGCGTGGCCCGAAGCCAGCCACTCCACGCTTTCAGGCCTCAGTTTCCCCATCTGTGCAGTAGGGGCCGGGCGGACTCAGTCCATGATTCTGTGAGACCCTGCAGAGGGTGTGGCCGGCAGGGGCTGGGTCAGGAGTTGGGTCCCTGGCAGAGGCCCCCAGCTGCACCCCGGGCCCAGGGCTCCCTCAGCTCCCAGAGATCAGGGAGTCCTCCGGATTGGGGGTGTGGCAGAAAGGGGTGACCTGGCCCGGGTCCAGTCGGCGCCTCATGGCCTCATCGGTGGAGGGGGTGGGACTGAGCGCCGGGGCGGCCGTGGAGGGAAGGGGAGGAGGCTGATGGCCTCTCTCAGCCTTAGTTTCTCCATCTGTCGGGGTAGGGATGAAGTCACTTGCCATCCACACCCTCCTCGTGACCCCGGCCTGCAGGGAGAAAGGGGAGGGAAGGGAAGCGGCCACCCAGTGAGCCAGGGCGTCCCGTGCCAGCAGAGCCTGAAGGGCAGGCAGGCGGGTGAGCCCTGGCCCGGGCACCAGCTGGGGAGGAGGCTGCGTCCTTTCGGACCCGGTTTCCCTGGCTCTCAGGCCCCACTGGCTCTAGCCTTTGGACCTCTGGGGCGCCAAGGGTCCGAGGTCCTGGGGGTGTCTCCAGGACCCCCCAGGGGCTCAGACGGCTGGGTGGCCAGCTGCAGCTGTGCTGCTCTCTGAGCTCAGAGCCTGGGCTGGCCCACGAAGCAGGAAGAAGCCGGAACCAGAAAGTTAAAACAAGCGGAGGGGGCCCAGGTGCGGTGGCTCACACGGTAATCTCAGCACTCTGGGAGGACAAGGCAGGCGGATCAGCTGAGGTCGGGAGCTTGAGACCAGCCCGGCCAATATAGTGAAACCCCTTCTCTACTAAAATAACACAAAAAGTAGCCGGGTGTGGTGGTGCGCGCTTGTAATCCCAGCTACTCAGGAGGCTGAGGCAGGAGAATCGCTTGAACCAGGGAAGCAGAGGTTGCAGTGAGCTGAGATGGGGCCACTGCACTCCACCCTGGGTGACAGAGGGAGACTCTGTCTCAAAAACAAACAAAAAACAAAATACCGCGGGAGGGAGCTTGACCTTCTGACAACCCCACCAGATTCTTAGCCTGGCTTGAGGAGCGGGGGTCTGGGTAATGAAAAGTAAGGAGCTGCAAAGACCACCCTCCCCGCTCCGCAGTGAGCCCTCCCCAGAACCCAGGCTCTCCCCACCCCGTGTGGGCTGCACCCCGGACTGGCGGTGGGATCTCAGGGCAAGGCGCGCCTCTGGGCCTCAGTTTCCCCCGGAGGAAGTGGGAGGATAGGAAGAGGGACTTACCGGCTTCGCAGAGCCCAGGCAGCGCGTCCCGGCTCCCTGAGCGGCCTCAGGGCGGGCGGAAGCGGCGGGGCCCCGGGTGCCGGGCGCGGGGAGCCTGGGACGGTCCCTCCCACCGCGGCCTCCGCGGGCGCGCCCAGGCCGGGGTCAGGCGGGGCGGCGGCCCCGGGCGCCCTCGCGCGGCGGGAGCGGATCTGCGGCAGGGGAATGCCCGGCGCGCGCGAGCGCAGGGCCCCCAGTCGCCGGCTGCCGTGCAGCGCCCGGTCCCGGTGACCTTGGCGCGCTCGGGCGGAGGCGCGGCGCGGGGACTGACCGCCCGCCCTGTCCCGGGGCTGCTATTCCGGGCGCCGCTCTCAGGGCCCGGGAATGCGCGCGAACCGAGATCACCCCGCCCTGGGTCCAGGAGTCCCGGGCGCTGCACCCACCCCGCCGACGCCCGGATCGCGTCCTCGCCGGGGTCCCCGTCTCCCGTCACAGCCCCTCCCCTGGTCTTGCCCCCCCACCCCTCCCGCTGGGGGTCGCCCCACTCGTGGATGGGGACCCCCGCGCGCCTGGGCTCCCACCCTGGGGTTCCCCGCCCCGGGTCCCGGCCACCCCCAGCGCGGGGCCCCAGCGCACTGCGAGAAGCTCGGCCCCGGGGGCCACGCCCGAGGGGGTGGGTGGAGAGACCCTCCCAGCTGGCGCATTCCCGGGCGCTGCTGTCACCGGGGACGCGCCCCACCCCGCCTCCCGCCCTCCCTGCGGGGCCCCGGGGCTGCCAGCCCAGCTTCAGAGCCAGCCCCGGGTCCAGGCGGTCCCTCTCCCTTGCAGCCACGGCCCCACCCTCTCCGGCCTCAGTTTCCCCATCCCAGCAGTGGGGCCGGCAGGGGTCTCCACCGAGAACCTTCCATCTGGAATCCACTCTGCGCGGACCAGCAATGCGAGGGGCACCCCAGGACTCTCCCCACCCCACCCTTTCCCGCCGTTTCCCACTGGGTGTCTGGGTGCCGCCCCGTGCCCACCCACACAGGGATGAGACCAGGCCCTGGGGTTCTGGGCTCCACCAGCTTCTGGCGGGCGGGCTGAGGGGCAGGGGCACCAAAGGAAGGGAGGGGGTACTGCCCTTTGGCTCCCTGAGCTCCACCCAGGCTCAGCCTGAGCACCCCCTCCTCCAAGAAGCCCACTCTGCTGTTCCACATGTGGGTCGCTGGCCCAACGGGTGTTTACAGTGCTGATCACAGAGAGAGAGGTTTGGTGGGGACATACAGGGCGTCATTGCTGGTCCAACTCAATCTGCTCTCCAGCCAGTACCATGTCACAGCAGAGCCACCCATATGCCATTTATTGAGCACCTACTCTGTGCAGAGCTGTGAACAACCCAGCCAGGCCCAGGCCAGCGGTTAAGGCAGCCCGAAGGAATAGAGAATCCCACCTTCTCATCTGGACCGCTGGTAAAAATAGCCCAGGCCCACCGTAGATAGCCCTGGCAAGTGGTGTGGTTTCTGGGATGTCAGGAAGGGCCTCACTGAAGAGAAGGGCAGGCTGGGGCTGTGGCTCACGCCTGTGATCCCAGCACTCTGGGAGGCTGAGGCGGGCCGATCTCCTGAGGTCAGGAGTTTGAAACCAGCTTGGGCAACATGGTGAAACCATCTCTAGTAAAAACACAAAAATTAGCCGGGCGTGGTGGCAGGTGCCTGAAATCCCAGCTACTTGAGAGGCAGACATAAGAATCGCTTGCAGCTGGGAGGTGGAGGTTGCAGTGAGCCAAGATTGCATGGCTGCACTCCAGCCTGGGCGGCAGAGCAAGACTCTGTCTCAAAAACAAAAACAAACAAACAAAACCTAAAAAAACAAAAAACGAAAAAGAGAGACGGGCAGCTCAGGTCCCAGAGGCTAAAATAAGGGACGAAGGGACAGTCGGGAGCTCTGGGTGGTAGAGTAAGTGGCGTGGTATGTGGGGGGGCGGGGGTGGAGATGAGGTCAGAGGGGGCCTGGGGTGAGTCATGGGAGGGGTTTAAGCCCCTGTGGGAGGGGTACTCTAGTGTGGGGAGAGCCACCCCTGACGGCTGCGGGGACGGGGTAGGTGGTAGGAAGGTGGGGAGGAGGCAGCAGGGGTTCCTGAGGGCCAGGGGATGTGCCCAGGGTGGCCCAGGTGAGAACAGGGGGTTGTGGCCAGCCCCGTCTGGGAGCAGAGGCTGCAGGAGCTGCTGATGGATTTGAGGAGCTGGGGTGGGAAGAGGAGGCTGGGTGGAGAGTGGGCCCCATGGCCTGAGATGGGCAGGCTGAGGCCAGAGGGGAGCAGGACGAGGCTGGGGTCGGAGGCTAGGTCAGGCTGCAGAAGGGGATGTGGGTGTGGCTGGCACACATGAAGCCGGGGGAACCTGAATAAAGGAAGCTGGGATGACGCCGGGCGCGGTGGCTCAAGCCTGTAATCTCAGCACTTTGGGAGGCCGAGGCGGGTGGATCACGAAGTCGAGAGATCGAGACCATCCCGGTCAACATAGTGAAACCCCGTCTCTACTAAAAATACAAAAAATTAGCTGGGCATGGTGGCGCGTGCCTGTAATCCCAGCTACTTAGGAGGCTGAGGCAGGAGAATTGCCTGAACCCAGGAGGCGGAGGTTGCGGTGAGCCGAGATCACGCCATTGCACTTCAGCCTGGGTAACAAGAGCGAAACTCCGTCTCAAAAAAAAAAAAAAAAAAAAAGAAGCTGGGATGAGAGGAAGAGAACCAGGTGCGTCTGGGGTCCCGGAGGGAGGTCCAGGCTTCTCTGAGGACGGCAGATGCTCCCTCGAGGTCAGCAAGAGAAGGGCGGAGAATGGACCCTCAAACCAGCCTGCAGAGGCAGTCCGAGACCTGGACCAGCAGCTTTCGGGTGGAAGAGTGAAACCTGTTTGGAAGGGAATGAAGACAAGAGGGAGGGGAGGAAATGGGGGCTGGCGAGCAGAAAGCCTCTAGGGAGCACCTACTGTGTACAGGGCCTGGAAGGGGTGAGAAATGTCAGCTCAGGCCAGGCACGGGGGCTCACGCCTGGAATCCCACCACTTTGGGAGGCCAAGGTGGGAGGATCACCTGAGGCCAGGAGTTAAAGACCAGCCTGGTCAACATGATGAAACCCCATCTCTAAATTATAATAATAATAATAGGATAAAGTTGTCGCCCGGGCTGGAATGCAGTGGTGCGATCTCGACTCACTGCAACCTCCGCCTCCCGGGTTCAAGAAATTCTCCCGCCTCAGCCTCCCGAGTAGCTGAAATTATAGGCACGTGCCACCATGCCTGGCTAATTTTTGTATTTTTAGTAGAGATGAGGTTTCACCATGTTATCTAGGCTGGTCTTTAACTGCTGATTTCAGGTGATCCACCTGCCTCAGCCTCCCAAAATGCTGGGATTACAGACACGAACTACCGCACCTGACAACATTTGTCTCGTTTTAAGCCATGAAGTTTACGTGTTTCTTACAAGAAGAAACAAAAACTGGCCAGGTGTGGTGGCTCACGCCTATAATCCCAACACTTTGGGAGGTTGAGGCAGGCTGATCACTTGAGGTCAGGAGTTCGAGATCAGCCTGGCCAACATGGCAAAAACCCATCTCTACTAAAAATACAAAAATTGGCCGGTTGTGGTGGCTCACGCCTGTTATCCCAGCACTTGGGAAGCTGAGGTGGGTGGATCACGAGGTCTGGAGTTCAAGACCAACCTGGCCAACATGGTGAAATCTCGTCTCTACTAAAAATAAGAAATAGCTGGGCATGGTGGCACATGCCTGTAATTCCAGCTTCTTGGAAGGCTGAGGTGGAGAATTGCTTAAACCTGGGAGGCAGAGGTTGCCGTGAGCCAAGATCATGCCATTCCACTCCAGCCTGGGTGACAGAGCAAGACTTCGACTCAAAAAAAAAAAAGATTAGGCCCAGGTGTGGTGGCACTCACCTGTAATTCCAGCTACTCGGGAGGCTGAGGCAGGAGAATGGCTTGAACCCGGGAGGCAGAGGTTGCAGTGAGCCGAGATCATGCCTTTTCACTCCAGCCTGGTCAACAAGAGCGAAACTCCATCTAAAAAAAAAAAAAAAAAAAGATAACAATTACTATTTTATGATTATTGACTAAATTCCAAACGTTATTTTATTTGGATTTGGATTTCACCAGTCTTTTGTTTTTTAAAAAACAGAAACAAAAAATCAAATGTCCTTTTTCTATTCTCGGATTCCATATGACGTTGAGCGGTTTGTCTCTTAATTAGTAAAAGGACCCACGCAGATTAAAAATGGATGATATCCGTGGCAATCGGGTGGGTTCTGATGCCCACGCAGCACCGTGAACACAGCTGGAGCTGATCGGTGTCCCTGATGGGAATTCAACGTTGCATCCCTCGAGAGAGGGGGCACGGGGCGGTGCCTGCCTAGTGCCTAACGGGGGTGCACACCTCGTCCCTGCCACTGGGGCTCCCCGTCAGGTGCGACACACAGCCACGTGCTAAGAAGGAAATAGTCGTTCCTGGTTGTGGGGGAACCAGGGAGAAGCAGACATGAATCACACCTAGGGCATCGTGGAGCAGGGTGGCCTCCAGGGCACAGCTGGCCCTTTCCTGCAGCCTGGGCCTAAAAGCTGATGAAGGAATGACAGGCAAAGACTAGGGGGTGGTAGAGGGACCAGCACGTGCAAAGGCCCGGTGGTGGGGTGAGCTCGGCGTGGTCTGAGGACCAGCGGAAAGTTCGGAGGAGCTCAGGGCGCCCGGGGGTATCCAGCTCCCACCCTGCTCCCCGAACCAACCGTCTGCACCAAAACCTCGCTTCCGGTGCTCCTTTTGTAGGAACCCACACAGGTGGGCCAGGAGGATGGAGCAACCTGCCCCAGCTGCCGGGGCTAAAGCCACCCACCTGGACAGTGTCAGCGGAAGAAGTGAAGAGAGCGGGTGAGGGGCCCCAGCACTGAACCCCAGGCTCCCAGGAGAAGGAGGCAGGGGCTTAAAGGAGAACTGAGCGCCGGGCGCGGTGGCTCACGCCTATAATCCCAGCACTTTGGGAGGCCGAGGCCAGGAGTTCGAGACCAGCCTGGCCAACACAGTGAAACCCCGTGTCTAAGCCAGACATAGCGGGACATGCCTGTGGTCCCAGCTACTCAGGAGGCTGAGGCAGGAGAATCGTTTGAACCTGGGAGATGGAGGTTGCAGTGAGCTGAGATCGTGCCAGTGCACTCCAGCCTGGGTGACAGATTATTAATAATTATTATTATTTATTATTATTTTTGAGACAGGGTCCTGCTCTGTCGCCCAGGTTGGAGTGCAGTGGTGGGATCACAGCTCACTGCAGCCTCGACCTCCTGAGCTCAAGCGATTCTCCCTCCTCAGCCTTTTGAGCTGGAATGACAGGCCTGAACCCTGCATCTGGGCAACTGGACAATGGTGCTTTTAGGAGGAAACGTAGCTCAGAGAGGGAAGAACAGGGCTTGGTTTCGGGACACCAAGTCTGGACGCCCCCTCTTGTACTC